CTTGTACGCATTATGATGTAAGCTTTCTTTATTCATGTTGCATTCATCAAGGGCAACGTACAGTGTCGATCTGATGTTTGGTGTAGGGTTGTGTTGATATTCCAACAACACTGAATATCGCAAATCAGGTCAGCATTGACTCGTGTGATAATAATCCACAGACAGTCAGTTGTACCAAACTGTTGTACAAACACATTGACATTCGATCGATCGGAACGACAATCAATCACTCTAATGTGTTGTTGGATATACAAACTATATTACACATGGTGACTGATGTTGTAACACATGTTGTAACACAACATTGAATCAATCAAACTGCAATTACACACTCCATCATATGTCGCATGTGTTGGCATGTCAAGTGTGGTGATGTTGGGTCAAAACAGTCGATTGGCATAATAATCCATCAACATTCGAGTCGGTTGGTCAACCAAACAGTTGTATCATGCGGTAATATCAATATACTGCGATTGTAGCATGTCATTCATCAGATATTGTTGAAACCATTACAAAACCTGTTTGGACCAAATCAAACTGTGACGAATACCGCATACTCGGATCATCATCAACTAAACCAGGAATACACGCTTTTCCAATATTGGCGATTGATGATTGAACATGATTCATGGCTAATTCGTCGAGTGTTTGCAATGTGTTGTTAATATAACCAGTCATATATCATTTGGTGTTGTTAGCTTGTGGTTTGGTGATGGTTTGATTGCAAGTGATTCTTGGACACAACACATTGCAAACCAAGCAACTTGACTACTCTTTTTACTCAAATGACTCGATACTAACCGGAATTCAATACAATTGTTGAATAGCCCGTGTAATATCAGATCTAGTTAAGTCAACAGACAAGCCAACAAACACGACACTCAATACAACTATATACAGCAAAAATGCGTTGGATTCATTTGTGATTGCATACTCATCAATTTTGAATGACAGTGTTTGTGCAGTTTTGGATATAGGTTGTATGGATATTGCAACAAACATGTAGTATTATAGTATGACTGGCATACTACTATTGGATCAAACAACATAACAGTCCGATATAATGTCAAATATATATGTGCATAGAATGGTTACCAAACCTGATCGGTTGTGTATTAATTATAAACAACTACCAATTAGCAACAAGTGACATTCGTATACATTGACAGAATCACTACAGACAACACCAACAATTACAAGATCATGTGCAATATATCAAGAATTGTGACATGGTTTCAATAAACCAACAACAACTGAACAAATGACATTACAATGATTATTCATAGAACAAGGCAATCAAACGACAGTGTTAGCGACGATTATATTGGACAATATTCATGATTCAAATATCGACAGTCAAACATTGGTTAACCAACAGTTGTACGATTATACAACTGACCCGTGTATTGACAAGTGATCAACCTTGATCCGGTCATGGTTGAAACGGTGTATCACAGGACTTGAAAGTTGATAGTATTGTTGTGGTGTAATATTAGCAACTACACACAACTTGACATGAATGACAATGTTGATATTGAGACTGTCAATGTATTACAATGTATTGGTCAACAGTGACTGCAATCAATGACAATATTGCAGTCAATTCAATCCATGTGTTGATTGGAACAATCATTATCCACTTGTCAGATTCAGCATATAAATGCATGTTTTGTAACATATTTACTAATCCAACAATCAAACTCAATCTGAATATTGAATATTATAATGTAATCAATTGTTGAGTTGAATTGACACTGTATTTGAAAATACAAATAAACACATGACAAATGTTTAAACACTATTCAAAGTGTGAATTTGAATACATGACAAATTAATACAATTTAACAGTTGTAATTTCACAAAAATGCTTAATTTAACAGTTGTAATTTCACACAAAAATGCTTAATTTAAACTATTGTGTGAATTTGTTTCACATTATTCACATGACATTAAATTTGGATTACATTCAAT